GTGGTGGGATTTCATTAATTTTTACTTTCTCAGTTTTCTGGAAATTTGGAAAATTATAAAAAATAAGCATGTGTTGTTTTCATAATTACAAAATTTTTAAAGATGGATTCTTGAACTTGAGACAACAGTAGTTTTCATTGAGAATAATTTAACCCATGAAATTTCCAAAATTCCTGGGTAAGCTTTCTAATTGACCCACCTTTCAGTATTTCCCCCCCTTGGGGCAGTTATCTGGAACCAGAGGTGCAGTGACATTGCATTAACAAGACAGCTTCCATGGGATGCATAGGGGAATAAGGATAACTCCTGGAGCGAGTGTGCAGGCCAACAGCTCCTTGAGCACGCACTCCAGATACTCTGCCATCGCTGGCGGGCACTAAATTCGGAAATTGTTCCTGTTGACCTTGGAACCCCCAACTCCCATGGTCTTTATCCAGTCATGACTCAGCATTTATACATGTTGGTTAAGCACAGAAATGGGTTTCTTCTGAATGTCCGTAAGGAAACACTTTTACCAAGGAAAGCTGAATTCAGGGCTCATACACAGCTGAGAATCTATAGATCAACTCCTAAGAGACCTGGGTCTGGCTTAGTCACACTCCTCCAGAAGTCCCTAGAATACCATACAGACACAATAGGACACATTTCTGTCTGAGGAAGCCTGGAATTTCTTCACCTGAGAAGGAACATTCTCCCCTCACACCCCTCAAATCATACACACACACACACACACACACACACACACACACACACAGGCACACACAGGCACACACTACTGCTACCACACATGTGAAAGCCTTGCCTTCCTGAGACAATAGCTTATGGTCAACTAGAGGTTCAGCTGGTCCGCTCTTAACCAGCAGGCCCTGTCAACCTACCAAAACTGCTGCTCAGTTAGCCAACCTCATCTCCTCCAGCCAACATTGCATGTTCTACCATCCAAGTGGTTAGATCCTATTTCTTCTCCAGATGAAAGACCCTTATCGCTCTCAGTTGGTAACCAATTATAATTTGGTAATTCTTTATGTCCAGCATGGCCCCCTCCATGTATAACAGATTATACATTACATACACACATCATGCACCTTAATTTTAAAAATGCCATACAGTTTTCATTGACAATCCCAAGTGATGATACTAGGCAGACTATTTCATAATGAAAAATTTATCTTTCATTCTATTCCTTTTATTTTTGAAGAACTTTGAGAGAATTATTTGGACATTCCAGTTTCTTAGGTAAAACTCGTTGCATGGTGATTCTTGAAGGTACCCTGCAAGAACTTTTCTTTTTCTTTTTTCATTCTTATTTACACATACAACAGGCAGATTTTGCAGTCCTATCTTAAGAGCCACAGGTTAAACAATAGCCTACACTTATCTGCTGAGACCACTAGGTGGTGCACACATATGTCTGTGAACCATAGGTTAAATGGGCTTGTCACTAGGTTAGATTTAATTCATCACCACAGGAGCGGTACAAACAGTAGGAGCTGCTGGAGTCCAGTAGAGACAGTGATCCTATGTGTGGGCTAAGAGAAGGAAGGGCTCCCACAGGAGGTGGATAGCCAGTGCTGGCTGTAGAGATGATAGGAACAAAATTGTAAAGGTGAGAAAGCCTAAAGACGTGGCAGAGGGAAAGTCCTATAGAGGAAGTGGCATGGTTGCTTTCAATGCTGACGAATTCCTATCTAAGAGTAGCAGAGGGAGTGACAGAATAGTTGAATCATTTGAACCAGATGACATCAAACATTCTTTCCAGACCTTTGTGCTGGAACTGGAGATAGAGGGATGAAATGACAGCCTTATCCTCAAGTAAGGACCTCTTGAGGGAAACAGAAGAAACAGACAGTTGAAACAACGTGATACAAAAGGTTGGCTTTACAAGATGCATTAGAAGAACAAAGTGTGGACTGTTCTGTTCAAAGGACAGATGGAGGTTGGTTTGGAAGTTGACATGCAGAGAAAATGTCATGGATGTCTGGAGCAGTGAGGGGAGACCTCCAAGAAGACAGAAGGTCATGAAAAATTAGGCAGAATAGCATGAGCAAAGGCATTGAGGGATGGTAAAAGGATAATGTGGATTCTAGGAATGCTTCATTGAATTTAGCAAATGCTTACAGAGGACTACTATATGCCATGGACTGAATAATACATCTTCTAGGCCCTTATGATACTCTCCAACTAGTGAGGAAGACACACATCCACTGAAAATTGCAATGTCAAAGGAGAGCTGAAAATTTGGCCCCTTCTACATTCTGACTGTCCTTTGAGCCCCCAGTGTTCCGTCTACAGGGATTCGCAGGAACACTTCACACCAGAAGAGGGAGCCCGTAAGCACAGTACCTGGTTGTGTTTAACTCCCTTTCTCTGAAGGTATTTCTCTCGCCGGCCCTTTACAGGTGCGAAGGAAGTTTGAGGCCGGAGATATGCAGTAAGTTATCCAAACTCCACAGAGAAGCCAAGAAAAAAGCCCATGTCTGTCTGCCTCCTGTTAGGTTTTCTTCTCTTTTTTCTCTACTGGAGCCTGGACACAGAGTCACCATTTAGAGATAGCTCTTAATTAGGAAATTGACTCTTCTCAGATAAATAAACTTTCACCAACCACAGTCATCACAAAGTCAAGCTTACGGGAAAACAGAGGGACACATTGTATTCTTTCCTCATGCATGAGAGAAGTGCTGAGCCACACAGGTTGGCCTTGGCAAAGGCAGCTTGAGCCAATTGTGCTACTGGCCTGGTTCTGTGTTTGGGAGGGAAGACGGTCTGGCTCCAGCAGTCCTTCTAGCCCATGTATGTGGGTGTGTGTTTCTTTTCAGAGCGAGGATGTGTGTTTACAGTGTAGGTCAGTGACATCTTGGAGTTGCATTATTTGCTTGAAAATGTCAACTGGAATGAGTTAGAAGCTGGCAGGAAAACAGTGATGTTGATTGAGAAGTCCATGAGGTAATACAGATCTGCTTTTAGGTTCATGAGAAGTCAGTGAAGTAGGTGGTAGAGATATCTTAAAGAGTTTTTGATGGGGACAGATCAAAGTTAAATAGAGGAGGAAGGAGACAATGAGGGCAAGAAGATTTGAGACCAGGTCTTCTGAAGAAAGGATATAGGAACTAGGCATCTTTAGCCTGGAGAGAAGACACAGATCTGCAGATGTCCCAACACTTGTGATGGGCTGAGACAGCTAGAAACAGTGACAATGTCTTAAGGAGGCCACCTTTAATCTTGCATAAAGGACAGCTAACAAACTATCAAGAAGTAGTGAGTTCCCCATCAAGAAAAGGGGTGAAACAAGCAGTTCATACAACTGGTGGGGCCATTGTAGAGGGGATCTTGTTCTCATAGCAGGTCAAACTCAATGACTTTTGAGCTCCAAGTATTCACGATTCTTTTTTTCTTTAAGATTTATTTATTCCAAAGAGAGGAAGAGTGTGCACAAGTGCAGGGAGGGGCGGAGGGTGAGAGAGAATCTTAACCAGACTCCCGCTGAGCATGAAGCCCAACAAGTGGCTCCATCCCAGGACCCTGAGATCAGGATCTGAGCTGAAATCAAGAGTCAGCCCCTTAACTGACTGAGCCACCAAGGCACCCCCAAGTATCCACTATTTTATGGAAAAGGAAAAAATAGCTCATATAAACCAAAGGCCACATGGACTATAGTAATAACAACAGCATCAATACTGTATCTTTTTATTGAGCACCTATTAAGCTTCAGGCATCATCATAATTATTTAGGTGTATTGTATTTTGGGCTTTTAAGCCAGCATCAGAGCTAACTGGATTCTAATCCTGGCCCTGCCATTTAATGAAGATGTTGTCTTGAGCAGATAATTTTCCTCTCTGAACCTCAAGTAATATCTGCAGGACTGCCAAAAGTATGAAAAGAAATAACACATCAAAGCACCTGGTACTGTGCCTGGTCTATATTTGTTGCTCAAAAAATGTTACTGCCTTCCCATTTCTGCTTAAGCAAAATTTCAGGAAGCTGTTCTCCATTCTTAGAGAGAGGCAAGATAGTGCAGGAAATACAGATAAGGTGAAATATGGCAAAGGATCCATTAGAATAAATATCAGATAATCAGAAGCTCCTACAATATGTAGCTTAGAGCAGTGGTTCTCAAAGTAGAGTTTGTTGAACGTCTTTTGAGAAAAAAAAAAAAAAAATACAGATTTCCAGAAAGCCATTTATAGAAATTCAAGTGTAGAAAAGAGAGAGAACTCATCTGGGGCTTAAGAAATCCTAACTTAAGTCTGTAGGAGAGTTGCTCACTGCCCCACCCCCAGCCTCTATATACACTTCTCCATCCTCAGGTTCCCATGATGTCCAAGTCAGGACAGAGGCTCCCTGTAGGTATGCTCTGATGTGGGGCAAGCCTACTGAGATAGTGATCTCCTCAGCCCTTGGGTTAGCCAAGGGCAGTTGCCTCCAAATCCGAGCAGCCTAATCCATATGGCCCAATGTACCAGACAGATATTTGCTATGATTGTTATATGGTACAAAGAGATGAGGATTCAATTAGACCAAAAAATGGTTTGATCATCAGTAATTAAAATTGTCATAGTGTTGCTGAGCAAATTAAAAAAATAAACCAGCCCAGGAATATCTTGATTGGAAGGGAATATATGGAGAGTGACGGTGACATAAGGACCCAAAGCAGAGGATTGCCAGGATACAAGACACTGAACCAGTATGGCCAGTGTGAACAAAGATTATCTGGTGCAGAATAATGAGCCAATGGCCTTTCCCTAAGTATAGTATAGGTTTGCCTGGAAGACCTCTAAGGCCTCTCTCTTCTGACCATCCAAGGATAAACAGAAAGGCCATCCATTCCCTTTGTCTCTAGGGTTCAATGCCTCTGTGCAGAGTTGTGAGTGAGCACCACATTCTCCACCTTATACCCTGCTCTGTGTGTCTGAGCATCCCTTTTGCATGTCCACCCTGAGCTGCTAAGCACAGTTTGGCTCTGGCTCAATTCTGTGATCTCACAGTATGTTTTCTTTTGCAGCAACAGCGGCAGCTTGACCTCCTGACAATAACCAGCCCCGGTGAGTAGGTGCAGCCATTCTGCTTTGGCTTTTCCCTTATTTCCCAGAGTGATGCCTTGTGGCCTAACCAAACGCAATTCCTCCTCCTTTGACTCCCTGGATGAACAGCAGAATTCTCGGTGCCATGAGCAATGCTTCTCCCTCCATCCTCTGCCCCTTGGGCAGTTTTTTTTTTGTTGTTTTTCCCCCCCTCCCTCCTCCCAGCTTTGTGCTGCCTCCGCTTGACTCTGCAGATGGCAGAGTCTCTGATGTTGCTGCATATTCCAGGGCCAAGCTCTCCCCAGATCATTCGATAGACTCGAGTGTCAAGGAATTGTCCTGGTCTTATGAGAAATAAGTTTTGAAATCATGGGAACAGGGAAACTGCCTGGCAGGGGACATGGAATGGAAGAAGGATGGCTCATAAGGAGGGACTTGTTTGAGAAAGTGACCAGATTTGGTCTTCCGTGCTCAGGATTTTTTTTTTTTAAACATTTTATTTATTTATTTGACAGAGAGAGATCACAAGTAGGCAGAGAGGCAGGCAGAGAGAGAGGAGGAAGCAGGCTCTCCATGGAGCAGAAAGCCCGATGAGGGGCTTGATCCCAGGACCCTGGGATCATGACCTGAGCCGAAGGCAGAGGCTTTAACCCACTGAGCCACCCAGGTGCCCCTTCCGTGCTCAGGATTAGAATAACTCTTGTCTCTCCCTTTAGGGGAAAGTCAAGTTCCCCAACAAAGCTGTGGCCATGAGATTAAAAGGTCCTTTCTTCCCCCTAAGCAGGGCATCTGCCTAAAGAGTGGTTGAGTAGTTTAATCCTGCCTAAGAGGTATTTTATTTTGGTTTGGGAACTTGAGGCAAAACTTACCAACAAGAGGTTGTTCTCTTTTGGGATCCAAGAGGATGATGATGCCAGCAGGGTTAGTGAGCATTCAAGAATGGGTGTGGTGGGTCATCTTCATCTGTTCAAAATATTTAACAGCCCTGGTGACCCCCTGCTGAGCGAAGCATTAACACTTTGGCTACTGGACTGTGGGGGGATGGGATCCTGGGGGAGGGGGAAGTGTGGCAGAGTGGTCGCATGGCAGGGTTGGGGGCTCTAGGAGTGGCTAATTACTGATAAATATGGAGGCCATTTCGATATGCTGGCAACCAGTATGGCTGTACCCTGTTATCTCTGTCTTTTACCAAGCTCGCCATGCTGTATCTAGGTGCCAGGTGGCTCACTTACAAAGAGATTGAAGAATTGCCCTGTGCAGGCACTATGTTAGCACAAACACTAGTTTATCTGATCTCAGTCACTGAGGTGTAAGATAGTGACTACAAATGTGATTTGGATCTACCCAGTTCAGGTGACCCTACTATACTTCTACCTTGTGGAGCTTTTTGAATTTGGGATTTTAGAAGAACAGAGATGAAGTAGTTTGAAAAATGTTTCATCTGTTCTATAGATGAGCTATGTTTAATATATATATATATGATAAACATATGTAGAAATTCCAAATCATGGGCTAACATAACTAGAGTGTTCCACTCCTGTGACCTACCAATCCCTCCCCACTAAGGTGTTGGTGAAGGATTATCTTTGTCCCGTCTCGTTTGATTTCTGTCCTTTGTAATTGTGTACTATTCTACTCCACACATGCTGACCCAAATTGCCCGCTTCCACATTTCAGTCTAATGGTCACATGGTCATACCCTGGTATGATGCTGATGTATGAATTGGAGGGGGTTTTCGATATGTCTTCAGACCCCGTTTACTGCAGTTCTTTTGTACTAGCTCTTTCTGTTCCTAATTGCTGCTGCATAAATTCAAGCAGAGTAATTGTGATTCTAAGTGTACTCCTTTTGAAGAGCTGTGGAACTGCAAAATGCTAAGCACTGCCAAAGTTTGGAATGGTTTATAATTTTGCCTACTTTTGGATGGGAAAAAAATACCTCCTGGGTCAAAGCTTCCCAAAAGGTGTGTTGTGAGTGGTGCACTGTTGTACTGCAAGTAGGCTACCTTTGTGTGATATCATGAGATACTCACTTGTGAGATATTAATCCATTTACCTCTCAGGGATACAGGTAGGACCTGGACAGCTGGAGTTCCCAGAGTGGTAGCCTTACTCCAGTTTCCAGACAAATATCCACTTGTGCCATATATTACCATGGGCCGTGTATTACCATTTGTACCATCTATGCTGGAGAGTCTTCTATTTAAAAAATTTGTAAATCTAATTGAGACTTTTCTACACTCCTACCTGATTGCAACTTTCTCCTTTCACCCTATAAGTAACCACTATAATAAATTCAATGTTTTTTCCATATCTGTATGTACCAAAAAAAAAAATATAGGTGTAACTGGTATTCTTTTACAAATTCCTTTAAATAATGTCACACTGTAAATGACATTCCATGACTTTCCCCCTAGCCATTATTATATTGTAGAGATTAATTCAGGTAGATTCATGTACCTCTGGTTTATTCATTTTAACTGCTATATAGTATTTCACATATGATTATATCACTATTTCTCCAACTTAGTCATCATAATTTAGGCTACTTCCAGTTTTTTTTACAGATTTTATAATTGCAAACGATGCTACTAGGAGGATTTTGTGCCTGTCTGCTTGTGTTTAAGCGCATATAGTTAGGGGAATTATTGATTATGTGCATCTTCAAATTTACTATGTAATGCCAATTATTTTCTTTTTTTTTCCTTTTAAATATTTTATTTATTTATTTGACAGAGAGAGAGAGAGATCACAAGTAGGCAGAGAGGCAGGCAGAGAGAGAGGAGGAAGCAGACTCCCCGCTGAGCAGAGAGCCCGATGTGGGGCTCCATCCCAGGACCCTGGGATCATGACCTGAGCCAAAGGCAGAGGCTTAACCCACTGAGCCACCCAGGCGCCCCTGCCAATTGTTTTCTAAGGTAGTTGAACAAATATATACTTCCAGCAGCAAAGTATAAGGGTTTCCACTGCCTTGAATCCTCAATACTTGGAATTGTCAGACTTATAAAGTTTTACCTGTCATCATGATAAATGTGAAATGATATCCCATTTTTTTATAATAATTTCCCTGATTGCTGATGGGTTTGAGTATCTTTTCATATGTTTATTGACCACTTTGGTTTCTTCTTTGGTGAATTGACTTTTCATATCCTTTTTCCATTTTCAATGGGGTTATCATTTCTTTTTATGGACTTACAGTTCTTTATTATTCTGAATATCAATACTTTGTCACTTATATGCATTGCAAATATCTTCTTCCAGACTGCGGCTTGTGTGGGTGTTGTTTTTTTTTTGTTTTGTTTTGTTTTTTAGTTAATAATGTACTTCTACATGGAAGATTTTTAAAACTTTAATGGGGTTAAATTAATCAATCTCTTGCTTTATGAGCTTTGCTTTTGTGACTTTTTAAAGAAATCTTTCCCTACCTGGATATCATATTCTTCTGTACTTATTTATAAGAATTGTCAAATTATGTGTCATATTTGGGTCTTTATCTCATTTAGTACTGATCTTTGTGTATAAAATGACTTAGGGATTTAATTTTTTTATTTACATATGGATAACCCCTTGTCTCAGCACACTACAACAACTAGTACCTCCTTTTTCCCACTTGTCGGCAATTACATGTCTGTCGTATAACAATTTTTCTATACACAGAATCTGTTTCTGAACTTTCTGTATTATTCCATTGGTCTACCACACTTATTCTGCATTAACTCCATACTGTCTTATTTATAATAAATCTTAATTTTTTTAAAAGATTTTATTTTTTTATTTGACAGAAAGAGACACAGCAAGAGAGGGAACACATGCAGGGGGAGTGGGAGAGGGAGAATCTGTCTTCCCTCCGAGAAGGGAACCCCATGTGGAGCTGGATCCCAGGACCCTGGGATCATGACCTGAGCCAAAGGCAGACGCTTAATGACTGAGCCACAGAGGCAACCAATAAATCTTAATTTTAATATTATCTTTATAATTATAGGGAGATATCCTTCTACATTTCCCTTTTGGGTAATCTTTTGGAAACAGTATCACCTGTTTATTTTTTAAATAAAATCTAAAAATCCATGTATTGTAACAGGTGAATTTATTCTATATATATTTATTATAATTACTGCTATACTTGAATAAATACCTACCACCGTATTTGTGCTTTCTATCATTCACTTTCTTTTTTTTTTCTCTTGTCCTGCCTCTTTTTAGTATTAAGTTTTATATATTACCTGCCTTCCCCCCACTCATCTATAGATTTGGATGCTTTTGTTTTTATTTCTAACCTAAATGGGTTACCTTTTAGATATACATTTCATGATGTATTTTCTTACAAAATCTACAGCCTTTGACACAATTAGCCTTCATACAAAGTAGAGTAAAAGATGGACTAGTTGAGGCACCTGACTGGTTCAGTCAGTAGAGCAGGTGACTCTTGATGTTGGGGTCATGAGTTCAAGCCCCACGTTGTGGGTAGAGATTACTCAAATAAATAAATAAACTCTTAAAAAAAGAGAGAGAGAGATAGACTAGTTGTATGGTGCTGAGAAAATGGGTTATCTATATGTAAACATGTTTTAACCACCTATTGAACACTGCCCTGTCATCACCTAGTTATTATTATTTAGACTTCTAAGTTAAACTTAAAAGTGAAAAACAATGAATTAGTAGTAACACTGAGCTAATTACTTTTCCTACACAGCTTATGATGTTTTGTGTTCTCCTGCTTATTATATCCCAAGATTTCCTGTGTTACCTTAAAGTGAATCCTTTAATAACTATTTTAGTGAGAGTCCATGGCAATCCTCTTAATCTATGTATGTCCTTATTCTGACTTTCTCTGGATTAATAGTTTGGCTAGGTATAAATTTTAGTTTAAGGAAGACTTTCCTTTGTACTTTGAAGATTTTTAAAAATTGTTTTCTGACATACATAGTTGCTGATGAGAAGTCTTCCATTATTTGTTTTTTAAAGATTTATTTATTTATTTATTTGACAGACAGAGATCACAAGTAGGCAGAGAGGCAGGC